CCCCGGCTGACGTCACATCACAAACAATTATCCCCGAAAGGATGATGCGGAAGAAATTTCACCCCAGCTGCCTTCGGGAAAGCCGGGGAATTGATGGCGCGTGACCTGCCGACGGGCTGGGAACTGTCATTACAACAAAGAAACAAAAGAACCCACCCGAGTGGGGCTCTGGACTCCAACTGGCAACGCTTGAGATCATTTCTGGGGCGGGAGGCGGGGGGAGGGGAGCAGCCAGCGGACCCAAGCCCGAGCCCGGCTCAAGACAGCGGTGCAGGCCCGCCTCCTCCCGCTCCCTCCCGGCCGGCCGGCCGGCGGCGGACGCAACCCCGCGGGGCGCCCTCGACAGCTCCTGTTCGAGTCCCGCCGCCGGCGTGTCCTCCCAGCCGGGCGCACGCGTGAGCCGCCTCGCTTCCCCCCGCGGGGAGCCTTTCTCGCAACCGACCGAGTCTGCAGCTGCCAACTGCAGTCCCCGTGGGAAACGGACTCCTGCGTCTGGCATCGCCTTCGAGTCCATCCACGTGCCCACGTGGCCATCCGGAAGGAGGCAGCCGCGCCTGGTTGAGGCTGGAGGGCGGGGCGGAGGCCAGAGTTTTGTGACGTCCGGGGATGGGCTCTGCGCGCCTGGCAGCTGCAGGAGTGGAGACGAGGTAGGGCACCGGGTCTGGCTGGGTTGAGGCTCGGTCCCCGGACTGCTCCCCAGAGACCCCGGGAGCCCTCCGAGAGCCCCAGACCCCCGGGGTCCAGCGCTCTTAGGTTCCGCTCAAGCAGGCGCGGGCAGCCAAGGAAGACAAGGGCAGGCCGCACAAGACAGCGAGAAGGGGGGAAAGGAGACATGGGAGGGAAGAAAAAGGCCTCTGGAACCCAGGAGCGACAACAGCAGAAGTGGGCATTTCTGCTACTGTGATCTTGTAAGAAGACTGGGAGGAAAGCTGTCACACAGTACAGAACAACTGTGGGCATCAGAGGAAAATGTGCTCAAGACAAGTTGAAGAAGATGCATTACGTGGTCAGAGGTGGGTCTCCGACGCTGTTATTAATGATAACTTGTATTATCAAGAGACCCTTGAACTTTTTTTTAGTGTAGCAATTTTCTTTATTTTATTTTATTATTAATTTTTTGAGTCAGAGTCTCGCTCTGTCGCCCAGGCTGGAGGGCAGTGGCAAGCTCACTGCCACCCCAATAGCAACTCGTTAGGCTCCAGCCATCCTCCCGCCTCAGCTTTCCAAATAGCTGGAACTACAAATGCACGCCACCACATCTGCCTAGTTTTTGTGATTTATTGTAGAGACGAGGTCTCACCAATTACCCAGGCTGGTCTTGAACCCCTGAGCTCAAGCAATCCTCTTGCCTAGGCCTCCCAAAGTGCTGGGATGACAGACTTGAGCCACTGTGCCTGGCCAGACGCTTGAACTTTAAATATTGCTCAGCCCTTGACATGTTCTAGCTTTTTCAACCACAGCAAATATGATGTGAGAAGTACCAAAGAAAACACAACTAAAGAGACTGAAGTAGTTTATTCATAGTTAACAAAAAACCAGAAACTCAGCTCCCTAGCCATGAGAAGTTTTGAAAAACCTATTGTTCTCCCTAAGACACAAATTGGAGTGACTTCTAAATTTCAAAATGAGTCTCCAGGGAAATACAAATGCTTGTGACCTTTTTCCTTGTATCTCTAAGACAGTTGGGTTTTAAAAGTGGAATGGGTTCCAAAGTAAAACCTACCTTGAGCACAACTTGAGTACAATAGCTGCACAGAAAACTGCAGGGGTATTACTGCAAAAAGGATGGATCAATGTGTGTTTCGCAATTTTTTTGTAATAATTAAGAACATGGGAAGATACTGGTGTCAAACAGACTGGAATCAAGTTTTGCCTCAGTCACTTAATGTGACCCTGGGCAAGTGATGTAACTCTCTGTGCCTCACAGTTTTCTTATCTGTGAAATGGAGATAATAATGCCAAGTTAATTGGGCTATACATAGTAGTGATGACAAGCCTTTATTATTGGCTTATCGTGTGCCAGACAGTATTCTAAATACTCTGCCAGTAAATGACTTAACATAGGGTCTGGAGCATAGCGAGTTCTCCATATTGGATTTTTAGTATTAGTATTATTACCACCAAAGGGCTGGCAGATGTATCAAAGAAGTTTGCAGCCCATCGGGAGTAATGTCCAATGTTCAGAGAACAACTTAGCAAAAGACCAAGTGATGTGTCCGAAGTGGACAGAACATGTTGGAGAGTTCTGAGGTACTGCTAAGTAGAAATGTGATGAGAGCCCAGTAAGGTTAGGGAAGATCTTTTTACAAAGATAATATTTTAGAGTTCAGAAAAAAATTGGAATGGGCTGTAAGTGGCAGTTCTAAAGAAGACGGGAGTTCTAAATAAGGAAAAAGCTCCATGGAAAATCCGGAGCCAAGGGCAAGCACCTGGGTTCGCGAGCAGGGGCCATTGTTAGACAGGAGACCCAGAGAAACCCAAGCTGCCTGTCTTCCCCCTCTTGACAGTGTCAGAGCAAACGTCTCAGATAGATTTAGTGTGAGGACATACCAGTTTCGTGTTAGACTTGCAGCTAACCAGAGACAGAAAGCCCCCTGAAAGATTATTTTGGTCAGCGGGTATTTACAGAAAAGACAAAGGAATGCAGCTATGATTGTCAGAGAAGGACCAGAAAAGAGTGTGTAGTTAAAGGTGGTGAGGTTGGTTAACCTCCACTAACTCCATCAGCTGTGCATGTCACATCCTTTAAAAGGAAGACGCCGTTACAATTTATGAGAATTGCCAATGAACAAAATTCTGTTACAAATAAAAATTGCTCAAGTATGTTATCAGATAAGATTATCCTGCTTTTGCCTTCTCAGAGATTTTCTAGATTTGCTCAAGAACAAAGACAGGTTGTGGCCCAAATTGTGTCACTTCATAGTATGGTTTTTGCTTGCTAACAAGTGCAAATGAGAATGTCTAGCTTCTAAAAAAATGGATTTTATTTTTGTGCAAGTTTGTAATGGAAGTCAAAGGATCTGTAGAAAAGACTGGGTAAATGACCTGCATCAGAGTGCAAGGATGGCCCAGGAGTTCAGTCCGGGATGTGGACATGTGCCCGGATCATACCAGGTTCTCAGATAGTGTTTACGACCAGTCCAAGACCAGAAACTTCACTGCTGAAGTCACTAGGCATTCAAATTTGTTTTCTGAGAAAACATTTGTATGTTAGTGATGGCCATACATAACATTTGTATGGTAGTGATGGTAGAGTTTCAGAATAAAATTCTATTACATTCTTACTATAAAAATTGAATGTCTTCACTATCTCCCAATTTTAGTGTTTGGGAGAAAAATCTGTTCATATTTTAGAAAAAGAAAGAAAATATTGAGAACTGAGCTGCAAAGAAAGGAGGAAAGAAAATTAACATAAGGAGATAGCTTAAAATGTGAATCCAGGCCGGGCGCAATGGCTCACATCTGTAATCGCAGCACTTTGGGAGTTGAGAACATTGCCTGAGCCCACGGGTTTGAGACCAGCCTAGGCAACTAGGCGAGACCTCATCTCTACAATAAATCAAAAAACCAGCCAGGCATGGTATCGTGTGCCTGTGGTTCCTGCTACTTGGAAGACTGAAGCGGAAGGATTGCCTGAGCAGGTCGAGGCTGCGGTGGCCATGAGTGCCACTATATTCCAGCCTGGGTGACAGAGTGAGACTCCAACTCAAAAAAAAAAAAAGAATCCAGGTGTGTGTGTGTGTGTGTGTGTGTGTGTGTGTGTGTGTGTATCCGCTCATAGTCACTATACTCTTAAAAGAACTCCAGTTTGAACTAACATGGGCAAAAAGGGAATCAATTGGAGTAGCTTGCGTAATTATAGGAAGAACCCAACAGCTGAGGCAAGGCAAGATCCAGGACACTTGAGGAAACTTTGTACTGGAACTGCATACACAGAACTTCTCTGTTTCTTTCAGCATGTCAGCTCTTTTCCCCTTACTAATCTTTGCATCCTCTAAGTTCACCTCTTCACAACTTGACTATCTACGATCTTCTTCAAAACATTGCCAGGGAAGAACCCTGATGGACCTGGCTTGGGTCATTCTTCACCTTTTGGACCAATCAATGGGGCCGTGTGGATGAGGTCTCATGATGGATTTCTTTAAACTAAAACTTACACTGGACTTAGTCACATGCTTATCACAGTGACTTGCTGTGGAGAGGGAGAGAGACAAGTTTCTATGTCAAACAGCCCTTAACAGTTTGAATCGCTAATATGATTAGAGTGGTAGAACCCTTAAAATGAAAAGAAGAGTGCTATTATAAAGCTTGAAAAGAATGCATGGTTGCAGAAAGACTCAGAATGTCACACACTGAAGCGGCTATTCATACATGCTCTTTCACTCCATCCAGAGGAAACCTGCAGACACCGTAGTCATCCTCCTTCTCCCAGTGGGAGGGGAAAACGTGGGGAGAAGGGGGGATGGTAATGCTTGTTGGTCCACTTACACCAAAGACAAGACCTGCCCTGATATGCTCACTACTCCATGCCTGCACGGACAGTCATCTATCCATGCCTACAAAAGTGCTGAAGGAATTTATATCAGTGAGGAGTACTGCTTAATCTAGACTACCCTGATAAAGATAAGCAGTAAAGG